AATTCATGGATTCGGGATACATTAGTATAGCTATAGCATAAGTAAGAATTAAAAAAAAAATTTTCAATATTAATTGAAAACAATAAACTTTATAAGTTTTGATATAGCCTATTGAGAAAATGCAAAATTGGAAATCTTTTCTCTGTGATCGCTGATCTACTGCTACATTATTCCCACAAATAATTTATTAATATAGTGCACTCTTGAGACGTTTTACATATGAAGTTTACTGAATAAAAGGCATGCCAGTAGGCATACAAAACTTACTAGTTTCCCTTCTCTTATGGAAGGAAGTTGTTACTGCTATTCTCTAATCTAAATTGAATTGCTATCCAAGAAGTTCAGGGAGTTCTGATGTATAAACTGAAACCGTATATGCGTTAATAACATGAAACAGCAGTACTTTGAACTCTTACAGTCATTTAGCTCTAAAAATACCAAAGTCACTGTAATGAAAAAATGTCAACTTCCTTAGTGTCAGCACTTCCTAAGTCTACCCATAGTTTTATATATCTATTTTCATGAGAAACGACCCAGAACATTAGCTCTGAAATCAAGTTCCTAATTTTTGTTGTTCTTGTTATTCATTAGGAAATTTTATCTGTTTATGACGATTTATATTTGCATTTTCGGTTTTGATGAAGAGGATCCCTGATTTGCCTGGTTCATGTTATTTGATTCTCAGATTGGTTCTTCTCACATACTTTTGGCATTGCTCCTCATTGCCTCTGCTCTTGCTCTGATAGGGTACCAGGGCAATGGGAGAGTGTGCACACTCCTAGACATCTGCTCGGTCAACAACGGAGGCTGCCACCAACATGCTTCTTGCTCCTCAGTTGTAGGTAATGCCCATCTCTCCTGGTTTTGGATATTTTAGTATGATCCTCTAGAACAAATCAACAGTTTAAAAAATATAATCCTCTATCCTCAAAGTTCTTATTTCGATCTTCAAACAAAAATTTAATCCTTGTTATAAATCTATACATTTAGATTATTTTTAATGGAAAAGGCTATGCTTTTTAATGATCTGCTCTAATTGAGGAATTATTCCCCAAAGTGATTAAGCCTGCTAATCAACTCATGACTATATTCCAACAAGCAGGAAGGAGAAAGGGTCAAGGATATGCCATTTCCTTTAAAGACTCTTCCATTTCCATGCTATTGGCCAGAACTAAGCCACATGGCCACACCTATCTGCAAGCAAGGCTGGGAAATGTATCTTTTTTACAGGAAACCATGAATCCAGCTAAAAATAAGAAGTTGTTAGTTGCCATGGAGTTGATGCCACTGCTAAAAAAGTAAAAAGTGGATCTATAGTGACAACTGGAAGTGTCTGCAACATTGTGTAAAAGGGGATTCACTTCCTAGGGTTTTTTTTTTTTTTTTTTGATATATTGTTAATTTTTCTCTCAAAAATATACCAATTTTTATGATCACTAACAGTATATGAAACTATTGCTTTACCTCACCTTTGAAAATAATGAACTCTGTTTTTATTTTTCATCTTGGCCAACTTTATAGGCAAGAAGTAGTTTTTCATTACACCCACTCCTCTCTTATTGTCATGGTTAGGGTCCAAAGACCAGGTCATTGTGTGAAAATCGGCATTATGCAAAAATGGAGGATGACTACGTCAGATCACAAAAATATTATGTGGAACACATATGTCCCTCTGGACCTGAGAGGTGGAAAATGTAGGTGGGCACTGTATGTCCCACTGGTCATGAAAGGGTTACTGCCAGACTTACGTCATTAATGAGCAAAATAGTCCAGATAGTAGATTTTTTTTACTATTGTCGCAAATGCGAAATGTCAGATAATGAGATACTTGATAAAAGTGAAGAGTAACCCAAAAACCTGTTTCTGTCGAGTTGATTCCGACTCATAGAGACCCTATGGGACAGAGTAGAACTGCCCCATAGAGTTTCCAAGGAGCAGCTGGTGGATTTGAACTGCCAACCTCTTGGCTAGCGGCCAGAATCTTAACCACTGCGCCACTAAGGCTCCAAGTGAGGAGTAGGTGTATTTTATTTGCACTTTTTGGTTACTATTGATAAGTTAATTAATTCTTTTCACATTGTTACTGACCATTTGTTTTTTACTTTCCCATTTGCTAATGTCTTTGACCATTTTTATTGGGTTCATCTTTTCTTACTGATTTGTTACATTTCATTATGTAAGTCATTAACTCATTATCTGTCTTATGTTTTACAAGTATTTTTCCTGGCATGTAGTTTTTCTTTTAATTTTGTGGTGGTGTTTTTAATCCTGAAGTTCAACTTTTTAATGTAGTCAAAAAGATCAATTTTTTCTTTTATGATTTCTCCATTGAGTGTCACATTTAGAAGACTTTTCCTACTGAACACTTTTAAAAAGAGTTAAATGCATTTTCTTTTATACTTTTATGGGTTTTTTTTTTTTTTTTAAAAAGGAAACATTAAGATCTTTGATCTTTTAGGATTAATTTTTAACTGTAGCATCAAGTAGAGATTTAGCTTGATTTTTTTTGCTAAAGGGGTGAACCCAGTTCAATTTATTGAGTAATGTCTTATACCTCTTGCTATTTCAAAATAAGACCTTTATTTTTTACTCACTTGTCATATATATATGAATATAAAGTATGCATATGTATGTAAATGTATGAGTGTGTGCATACATCCGGCTATTTGACTAATCATGAAGTGATTAACAGCAGTGACTTCTGGAGACAGATTGCTTGGGTTTCTCTTGTAGCTCCATCACTTCTAGCTATGTGTCATTGATCAAGATATTTAATCTCTCCATGTTTTAGTTTCTTCATCTGTAAAATGAGGATGATAAGAGCACCTATATTTCATAGGGCTTTTGAAAGGATTCAATGAGTCCAGATATGTAAAGTACTTGCACGGATGCTATTATTATGAGAATAACATCCTTGTTATATAGAAGACAGTCACCTTAGAGATGACATGAAGTAGCACTTTATGTACTTCTGGGTTGGTCTTCTTTGTTCCAACCTGTAAGCTTACCCCAGGAAACTTTAAAAAATTCCAAGCTAAACTGTAGCAGCACTGGAGTATATTTACCCCATTTTTTCCCATAAACATTTCTTTAAAGAAGTAATTAACTATAAAGAACACATCTCTAGGAAATCAGTTATTAAAAAAAGATACATGTGTATTTTATTATTAATCTCTGTGCTTTATTTATTATTATAATCTAGCAAATAGTATATAAGCCTGAAGATGTGAAAAAGACCTATATTATCATCCAATTATATTGCGTATCCGTCACATTGTATAATTTGTTCTGCTTGTTTCTTTAAATCTTCAGCAAGGATTCCTATTCATCTTCAACATTTTTGCTGTCAGAGGAATGCACTTAAGATAATTTTCATATTGATATCCATGTATTATTTTCATAATTTTACAGTAGTAGGAATAGCATATATTTGTTCAATGATACATGAATTTTGCTATTAAGTAAGAACTCTAAAAAATTGGATAAATTCAGTAAAATATAAGAACTAGTAATTTTTTATTTTAAACATTACTTTAAAAAAAACTGTAGAGATGCTGAATACTCTCATACTATTTTTACCTATTATCTGGTGTACATTAGACTGGGGTTCATAATTAATAGTGGATCCATGTGTCAAATAGAGTCAAACATTTCAAATTTTTTGACCAAATTCTTTTCCTATCTGATTAGACTATTATTGTTTTTACCTTGTAATGAGGTGATAGAGAGCCATAAAGATATGGGAGAAGTGTTGATGCCTCTAAATTCATTTCATGACGGCTAGCCTGATTAAAACTAGACAATATGGAATCTGCATATCCATTTAACTGGGAACATGAAAACTGCCCATGTAAACTATAATCTTTGCGACATGCTGCCAGCATTTTGCACATGAAGGTGCTGCTGGCTCCTTTGGCTCCATTATGTTCTAGCTATGTGTCCTTGGTCAAAACTCATAATCTCTCTGTGCTTCATTTTCCTCATCTGTAAAGTGGGGATTACAATAATACCTATTTATTGAGCTCTTGAGACGATTCAAAGGAGCTCTGGTAGAGCTGTGGTAGAGCAGTTGGCTGCTAATCTAAAGGTCAGTGGCTTGAGCCCACCAGTTGCTCTATGGGAGAAAGATGTGGCAATCTGCTTTCTAAAGATCTACAGCCTTGGAAACCCTATGGGGCAGTTCTACTTTGTCCTATAGGGTTGCTATGAATCAGAATCACCTTGAAGGCAACATGTTATTTTGGTGAGAGGATTAAGTCCGTCAATATATGTAATGTGTTTGCAATGATACCATCATTACCAGAAGAATACTCTTTTGCTGCTGTCAAACCATCCACAGTGAGGATCTCCGCTCTTCCCTTGGGATACCTCACACTGTTCACAGCTCAAGATCATCTGACATGGACTGACAGCACCAGTGTCAACTGATATATAAAGCACTGGAAACATTTAATATCTCTTTTACTTTTAAGAGTAAAAAATGGAAAAATAAAGACTCTAACATTTTCTCCCCATACCATGTCTTGTCTGCTCGGAGGAATATGTAGGTTTTGGAGATTTTTTTTTTCTTGATAACAGAGCCGAGTTTAGTTACTTCATCTGGACTGAGGAGACTTATACTGATACTTCTATTTTTATTTCTGAACAGGTTCCTTACCTCTCTGTACTTGTCTCCCGGGATATACTGGAAATGGTTATGGGCCAAATGGATGTGTACAACTCAGTGATATTTGTCTCAGTCACCCCTGTTTAAATGGACAATGTATTGTGAGTCCTTTGTACTTCCTAAAAAATAGAGTACTTGAAAATAATTTTAGTTTCACTTTCAGGAAATGTATTTTATTATATTATTCATGAATATGAGGTTATGATTCAAGCTTAAGATAAGGAACTGTCAATAACTGTCAGATAAAAGGCAAGTAGCAACTTTAGTTCCCAGTAAAAATTAGAGTTAATATCTTTTTCTCTCAGTAATTTACAAAGTAGTAAACACAGACTATAGTTTGATCTAAATAAGTCTGACCTCTTAGCAATTGCCATTTAAAGGTATTCACTATAAGCTAGGGTACTGGAAAATATATTTATTAGGGTTCAACATCTGCTTAAAAATATCACATAGCACCTCTTTTATTATTTTGGTCGATTCAAGTTTATTGTCTATCCATTTGTTGTATGGCATTATGCTTTTCCTTTCTATAGGAAACAGTCTCTGGTTATGTTTGCAAGTGTGAATCAGGTTGGGCTGGCATCAACTGCACAGAAAACATCAATGAGTGTTTGAGCAACCCCTGTTTGAATGGGGGAACTTGTGTTGATGGTGTTAATGCTTTCAGTTGTGAATGCACCAGTGCCTGGACTGGCTCTCACTGTCAGATTCCCCGGCAAGGTAAGGTCAGCTTTAGGTCATATGTTCACAGCTTTAGAGTATCATCCTTTAATGAGTTCTGCAGATTCTTCTACTGAATCTGCTTTCTTGTCCAGTTACTCAAATTTACAAATTTCTATGTAAGCCAGAAGAACCTTTTCTTCAAAATAATTAAATTAGTATTTGTTACTTTCATTATTTTTTTTCTGAAAATAAAATATGCTAAGATATTACCCTTTATAATTTTCTAAGGGAGAGTTTTGTATAGTAGCCCTGGAACCCCTGGTAGCATAGTGGTTAAGAGCTATGGCTGCTAACCAAAAGGTCGGCAGTTAGAATCCACCAGGCTCTCCTTAGAAACTCTATGGGGCAGTACCACTCTCTCCTATAGGGTTGCTATGGGTCAGAATTGACTTGATGGCAATGGGTTTTGGGTTTTAGTTTCCCTAGAATGCTATACTTAATCATGTTACTCTCTTGCTCTAGACTATGCAGTGGCTCCCCATTGCCTGTTAAATGAAGACTAGGGCTAATTTTCAATATGCTCTATAACCAGGCCTCACCCATCTAACCTTATTTTTCACTAGTTCCCTAAAAACACCCCCACTCAAGCCAGACATCTGACCCCATATGCCACCCATGTGTATTTCTACTGTGTTCATTTATTTGGGACATTTCTCCCCTCTCCAAATTCTTTTCTTCCTTGCCACTCAAATGTATCTATCCCACAGGAACGCATCACATTCATCTGACTACTCCACACCCCATTTATTACCACTGATTCTGAATCAACACACTTTTACTGATCTTTCATTGTGTGTTTAGGACTATGGTAGACTCTGTGGGGAAGTATGGAAGTGTAAAATATTGTCTCCATTTATTATCTGCCTATCTTCCAGTTGAGAAGGAAAACTAATGCAAAATAGCAGAGAAGATACAAGAACTAAAGATCAGAAGTAAACTGAGTGGGGCAAAGTTAAGTACATAGAAGTGGAGAGGATACGAGTCAGGGAAAGTCATGGAGGAGGAGATGTTGACAGAAAAAGGGGAGAGAGAAGAACAAATGATGGTGCTTTTATCCTCGACGTTAATTACTCAGCCTTTTCTAAATATTTCAACAGCAGGGTTAGAGTTGCCTAGCTTCCTCCTCCTAGGAGTCTCTGAAAAGCATGGTTCATTTTCTTTTCCTTTGCAGTTTGCGGAGGGTCACTGTCAGGGATGAATGGAACCTTCAGCTACAATAGTCCTGATACTGGTTATGTTCATGACGTTAACTGCTTCTGGGTTATCCGAACTGAAGAGGGAAAGGTAAATGCAGTATCTCCTGTCCAATTGTACATTTAATTTATATGTATGAATATGTCATATGTGTAAATATATTCCATACAGTACGTATAATGATATTTCAACTATCATATATTGAGTACTTAGCAAGTACCTGGCTTTGGGCTAGACATTTTGTACACATTTCTCTGACCTTATACTAACTGTTTGAAATAAATAACAGTATCCTCATTTTATAGATGAGATAATGGAAACTAAAAGAAGCTAAGTAATTTTTTAGAACACTCCTTAGCTTGCAGTTGGAATACTTGGATTTCATAGCCAAGTTTTTCTGGTTCCAAAGTCCATGCTTTGCCTGTATAGACAAACTGGTCATCTATACTCAGTGGACTATAAGCCAATAGTTGATTTGTAAAGTCATGTGGTTACTGAGTCAGTAGTGGATAAAAATGATCACTCAGTATTATGTTGATTATACTGGTGACTAATATTAAGATGATATACTTACTAAAAGTCTTTTCTGTGCCAGGTAATATGCTAAGTATTACTTCATATACATTATATTACTATATTTTTATCTCTGATAACCCTGAAGGATAGGAGTTATTATCCTAGTTTTGCAAAGAGGAAACTGAGCGTACAGAAGCTGAGAAATTTGTCCAGCTTCATATGATTTTGTGAGTGGTATGCAGTGACTTAAACCCAGGCCCCTCTGCTCCAAAGCCTGTGCTCTTAGCTGCTACAAGAACACTCTTCAAAATAACATTTGAGCCTACAGGTTTTAGTGCTTTTATCCCCAACATTAATTACTCAGGCTTTTCTGAATATTTATTTTCTCAACAAGTCCTGGACTCAGTAAACTAAAGTGCTATATCTGAATAGATAAGGTTTAATCTTGAAATTCTATTAACTTTTTCCAGCTAATTAATATTACAGAGATCCTTGTAAAAGGGTCAGAAAACACTTTTTTTCCCCCTTGAGGAGGGAGCGTGCTTTGGGGCATGGTGACCCCACAATAGAATAAACTCCAAAATAAATTTCTCAGTGGCTGTGTTATGCAAATTTCCACTTCATTTCTGTGAATTCTGTTTACTGACATCAGGAAACATTTTTCTCTTGAGAAAAAATTCTTATGTTAAAAATTTTAACTACATTTTTACCAGTTTGTAAGAAACTGTATACCATTTTTCTTGATTATTATTTTATATCTTCTTCCCACTATAATATACATAATGTAGGGGACAATATAAACAAATCTGGGTAGCTTAATTCATGAGCACATGTTTGATTTTCATTGAAATTGTTTCAAAGGTGAAAAAGAAGCAATGTTAGACAACAAATCTTAAAAATACCCAGAACAGAATTTCAAAAATATCCTGATATTCTTTTTCATTAACTGAATACTGTTGTGATTTTAGGTTATAATGGAAATTGAATTCAACAGCCTTTTCTGGGTTGTTTGTTTTAAATGAAGTTGTTAGTATATTATCTTTCA